AACAAGTAAGATAACTTTTCATTGTTTAGAACTAGAACATTTATTTTATGGTGGCATGATGAAAGAGGATATTAAACATAGTAATTGATAAAAAGTTGTGTCATCAGAATTTCAGTAAACTAGTCATGTATCTCTTACTCATATATTTTGATCCTTTTGAAAGTATTACAGTGAGCTTGTACAAGCTTTCTTAATGGACGCTAAAATCTCTTAGGACTTTGTGTGTATGTCTCACAGTCTCACGATTCTACCTACAAAAAATGTAGTATCATTACAACGGTACACAACAGCGAACAACACAAAAAAAACAACGGCATTAGCAAGAATTACAATTCTATAAAAGAAATTAGAATAACAAGAAAACGTTGACATACATACAACCAGGACACAACAAAAAGTTGTTTTTTTTCTTAAAATTATTGACGCAAGAAAATGACAGCTACAGAGAGCAGATGAAAGAAAGTAGCTTGCAGGTTCAAAGTAGTGCAAGCTACAGTAATAACACCTTAGGAACTGAGTAATTTGGTGAAATGTCAGGGTTGTGATAAATTTAAATCTTTGTGTCAGTAAAATAAGCAAATATCCTTGCATACCTACAATAAATTATACAAATTGTTAGTGTATTTTGTTAGAACAGTCATGCAATAATATTATAGAATTAAAACTTGACTTTCCAAATCCAGCAATTTTAACAACTTACTAAGTAATGACACACAGGATCACAGCACCTGCTACCACAACTCAAATCTTACAAAAATATTTTACACACTGTTACTTTCTAACCGTATTTATTTAAAATGTTTTTCATTTCCATTCAACTTATTTATTGCCTTAAAAGGGTTTTGTGACTTCTAAATGTGATTCTGAGTTCATGAGCCATAAACCCAACTTCTACTGGTATATGATATGCCACCTCAAATTCTTGACCATATTAGCCGCAATATAACTTTTCTTTAAACTATACTGGTTGATATATTTCATAAACTTAAAATTTATTTTATAAGGGGATAAACCTAAAATCTAAGGGGGTAAATGTATTATTTCTTCAACTTTATATACAGAAATATATTAAACTTTAAGTTTGAGTAACAAGAAATCTGATTCTAAGAATAACAAAATATTCTTAACAAAGTTGTTATTGTCTTTGTTTTTCAGTTAATTTTCATGGAACCAAATTTTGCAATTTCTATCTTTGATTGAAAGACATTAATCAAAATGACCTTTATTGACATTAGTTTTTTGCATTCTACCTCAAATAAACAACCACCTCTAACTTTTATTGAAAACATTAATCAAATCCTTAAAAAGTTTAACTACCAGAATTGATGTATGAGATCTAAAGACTCATACAGAAATGTGATGCCATATTTCAAGATTATTATTCAGCATTTACATAATTGTATCCCCAAGCTGTGTTTCCATAATGATGTCATTTGAATTTATATTGTCTGATCAACCTTTAAGGCTGCCTAATTTCAATTGACTTTGATGCTTCTTACCAACAATTTAACCAATTTAACTGATATTCAGGGACTGATACTAAGGATGTTCTTAGGCTAAAAAACCTAATAAACCTAAAAAAAAAAACAACCAATTTAGTAAATATGTCAGAAAAGAGTTAAATAGAAAATTTTTTTTTAAAGTAGCTATTGCACAAGCTAACATCAAAGCCAAAAATGATGGTAAGATCAGGATTTATCTGTATATTTTTTATTTTAATATTTGTTTTAAAAAAAAAGTAAAGATGAAGTTCATGCAGGTCGTTTTTTTAAAATTTAAAATATGACACAAAGAAGAATAAATATTATCAATAGTTTTGTTAGGATGTGAGAAGAATCTAAGAATTCATAATGGATTACAAAGTAATGGAGATTCCTTTGAAGCTTAAAATATACTAGCTATTAAAATTCATAGGCATGGGGCATAAACCACTTGCGTGATAAGAAAACAAGCAATGAATAGTACTTTCACGTAATTAGTTTACATTCGCCTCAAAAGCCAGAGATGCGGGAATAATTGCCTATAAAACACAATCTTCACGGAACCAGACGAAAGCTGATTACAAATGACAACATTCGGTGTAGGTAAAGCACCTGTATAAGCTGAAAAACGGAATAACGATTAATTATTGAAATGATCGTGACATTTAGGACGTTTAATGAATGAAGATGACTTCACTGCAGTTATCATCGGTCAAGGCTGTAGATAATGGGGTGATACTCTTTATATTAATATGTAAGATGTGCAAAATATGTACCTTCCGTCTATTTAATAGTAAATGAAAACATAAAAATTAGAATATGAAACAGGCCGGGCAAGTATTGATGATTTCATATCCATGTATGATGTTTGACATCTATTTCAAAACTAATTAAAAGAAAGATTTCGAAAAATAATTACAATTTTCTATTGTATGCACATATCGTAAAAAGCTTTTAGTTTCCAAAAAAAAATCATCCATAAAAATGCCAAGAATATTACAAATCAGTTTGCAAAAAATAGAAGTGATTCATGGTCAAAGGCATAACATTCCTCGTAAAAATCTTACAACTGGTGTACTGTATGGTATGGGTGACCCTGTTTATTTATGAATGACCCTATTCGCCTTAAGTATAAGGTAATCATCATTACAGTCGTATGTTACATGTGTCTCGGGTTACACTAAAGCCTTTTTCGGTAAAAAAGATTCCCATTGAGACGGTGTTGAATGTTAATAATAAAATGCAGATTTATTGCTATTTTCCATGATAAAATCATCAAAATGAGTTACTCACTACCGCAAGTTTTGATCTTTTACATGAATTGGCTGTGAAATTATTGATTTGAACGAAGCTAGTAACAAACAATTCCAGAAAAATGTTGAATAAAAATTGATTTAAAGATACTTTCCATGACGAAATCAAGATAAAACGAGTTAGATTCAATCTATCTAACAGCATTATCTTCACTGGCATCAGTATCAATGGTAAAAGTATTGACTTCAGTAAAAATGAAAAAGCAACGAAATATAAAAAAAATGTTGAAAACAAGAAGATTTATTGGTACATTTACGATCAAATGATCAAGATAAAACAAGTTACAAACTATCCTTGGTTGGATCATTTATAGGAATCTATGGTGACATTATTGATTTCAAAAAAGATGAGCAAAGTAGCAAAAATTATGGGCCACAATGTTATCGAAGGTCAGGACAAAGATGTGGTAACAACTGCAAGATTTATCTTACACATGTTATTTGAGTTGCGTACTCCTGGGATGAGGCTGTCCACTCCGAGGAGGAGAATCTTTAAAACACTGTCGTAAAAAACGTGATTCATGTCACTACAAAATTAAATTGGTTGTACGTTGAAAGCATTGCAAGGTCAAAACTCTCGCTTCTGCTATTGTGGTGGAAAAAAAACGATTCCTCTTTATTTGTGGAATTCTAAGAAAACTGGTTTTGACAGTTTCCTTGATTTTCCTCATCTTGTCGATGAGAGGTTCTTTTTTCAGGTTTTGTTGAAAACTCAAAAGAATTATCTTGAAATTTGATAATTTTCATTAATACTCTCTTCCCTGAACCCTGCCAGTTTTGTGAAGGAGTTTACTCAAATTGCTATTGTTGAAATAAAGAAAATCTAAATAATCCTAGGTTATTGAAATGTAAACATTCTGAACTTTGCATTACTATGATTGGCTACGTTAAAAGGGTGTAGCCCAATTATAATGCACCTGCTCCATTTGTATCGTACGAGGTTACAATAGCTTGTGAATATCAATTTCATTTATCTTCGCTGCGATAATTCTCCATGCCATTTACCGACTACTAAAAACAATGTGTTAAGCTTTCTAAATCTAAAGGATATTACATAGGTTTAAATATTTTGCTCTGGTCAATTACGAGGCTTAGCAGAAAGCGGCCCCTTCACATTCACAACCTCACTTTGTACAGGTGAAAAGTTCTCAGTTACATGAATGCTAATTAGTGGCAAGAAAAATATGCAGAATTCCCATGCATTTATGAGATTATTTTGAACTAACAGCTTCATTTTCCTATGCCTATATGCAATGTAATGCAAGATTGGTGTCCCCTGTACCCCCTACTGGATCCGCCCCTGCATTGCGAGTAAATAACTTATTTGACTCTTTCAAATGAGCAATAAATTGTTTTAATTTAATGTGTTTTCCTGCTTTTAACGCAATGTATCATTGATACAATATTTAACCTAATACTTGGTAATTAAAATGGAAAAAAGATGGCAAAGAAAGTTATTGAATTAATGAAGATGCATCATGGGAGAAGCAGATGTTCCAGCTCTTCAAATCACTGAACATTTACAGTACTGTTTAGAACTATCTTGACATTTATCACTCACAAACGTAATTTACATTTCCTCGTTAATTATTTTGATAGTAAAAATAGTACAAAGCAAACTCAAAAGAAATTAATGCAAGCCATCGAGATTCGATAACCAAACATTTGTTTATTATCTTCAGGAATTTTTCTCCTTTGGAATTGGTTTCACATATCACTACTAATAAAAAGTACTGTTCAGACTTCTTGGGCAAAGAAAGTGCATCACAACTAGTGTCAACTGCAGATCTGTCCACACTAATAAATTAAAATTTTCTGTGGAAAATTCAAATGATTTGCCCATATATGGGCGTGATTAAACATCAACATGCACATATATGATGCACAAATCAAATATTATTTGTCCAGCAAAAAATTAATAGTGCAAACCTACTCTATTTTACTCTAAACCATGAAACTAACGCCTGAGAAACACGTGCTCTCTATCATGTATTTTAAAATTGTTTTTATCTAATCTTGTTCTTTCACATGTTTTTATTCATTTTTTATCTGTTTATATGTCTTATATTTCCAAAGAGAAAACAAATTTCCATTTTTATATTGGAAAATAAAGTTATCTTATCTATTAATAGCAGCAGACCATTATTCTCTTTTGTCAAATTATCTCCTTATATGGAGATTTATTTTTCTATGTTTTGTGCCTCACCTGGATGCTTGGAGAAAGTAATGTAAAGCCTCCTCATGGCGCTCTTCACTCTCTAGTGAGTGTCCAACATTATTCCACAATTTGGCATTTTGTGTATTCACTTTAAGACCAGATGCAAACAAGGTATATTCTGACTGCCTGTAGATAAAAGATAAAAAGAATAAAACTTGACGTAAAATCAAAGAAAGTTATTTACATTGAATGTGATTGGTGACTTAGATATAAATAAATTTTTCAGAACTTGGCATAAACTACACTGAATCCAGAGTTTATACTCAAGTAGATTGATTGAAAATTGATTAATATTATGCTTTGAACACTAGATCTCCAGAGTTTTAAGCCTGGTTACATGTCACTTGACCACTAAATATTCAACTGACTCAATGATATGCAACTGTAATGTTATCTGCATGAAAAACTTCTTCAGTGACCGTTATATTATGTTGAATAAAGCATTTTAATATCACACTTATGTTTAACTCAAATTTTAAATAAAAATTTTATGAATTTGTGAGTATTCATGAGATATTAGCTTGATAGATTTTGTGACATTGATGCAAGATCCCATTACAGAAAGGTGTCATCAAAATTACATCATTAATACTTTAAAACGAGATATTTCAAAAGTTTTGAAATATGATTCAATAATTATCATTGATCTTTATCCAGAAATGATGACACATGTTGTCTAAAACTGAAGAGCTCTTCCCTAGAATTCATTGGTTAGTTTTTTTATGTGAAAAAAAAATGTTTTCCTTCACTTAAACATTTCAAACATGTTCACAGTAAAAAAATCACATCATCATTAAATTCTAGGCAAGTCATATCACTGTATAATTTTGCCACTACTAAACCTCTCCAGGGAGAAGGAAAACTGAGACATCATGGTATAACAAATCAAACTAAAAACTCCTTACGTATGGAAGGGAAGGAACAGTGCCCAAGGATTAAAAATAAAGAGTACCTGGGCATTTTTGTAGCCTGCTAATTGTTGAAATGTCTAGCAAAACATCAATATTACACAGAGCAGTTTTTTTTTTAATCATATAAAACACCTGCCGATAGCTACCTGTGGATGATTTACTTTTACAGGTAAATATACAGAATATTGATTTAAAACTTACTGTAACGCTCTGACAACTATTATCAAGATCAGCAGTTAGTCTTTAGGAATTGGTTGTTAATAAAAAAAAAAACCATCACAAACATGGTAATGTATGAAGATGAAAAGTGAAAAGAGGAGCAAATATGAGAAGCAGGCAGAGAAGGGTAAATGGTAAAGAAGATTGAAATTGAAATGTCAGTGAAGGGTAAATGGGATAGGAGATTGAAATTGAACATCAAAGTGTTAAGAAACTCCGCTTTCAGTCGTTAATTATGAACATTTCCTCTCCAGTTATACATTTTCAACAGATATATTATTCAACAGACAATTATTTTTTTTCCCATTCCAACTGTCTCTGTCATCGAGACATCAAGATATACTGTCTGGGTTCAGGCCTAAAAAAAGTGATATTTGAATTGCTTTATTTGTCTTAGTTATTAGATTTTACATGAAAATAGGGGAAATATCACAACACAATTTCCTTAAATTGGATGATAATTATTATTTAGTTAGTTATCTGTAAATCCACTACAAATCACCATTAATACTTTTAATTGCTGCGAAGCAGCCAATTCATATTCTTGACAGCAATTTGACCTTTGAAAGGTCATTGTTTGTCAAAAAACGAGTGCCTAAGACGACTGAAAAGCGGAGTTTCCTTCTTTCGTTCTGACGGGTAAAATCAATTACTTTAGGCGACGTTTGTAGACTAACCTACTCGTACCAACGTCCGCATGTCGCGCTAGCCTTATCCTACTCTAGGCCTAGACTAGCTAGGATGGTATAGGCCTAGCCTTGAAGGGACAAA